TGAAGCTGAGTTTGATTTAAATAAGGTCACCTAATACATTTTTGGCAGAGATGAGATTCAAGCATTCTGACTATCTTAGTCCCTACTAAATATGTTCACTATTCTGTATAAAACATGTAGATGAAGAATTTAAATTCTTCAATTCAAATGCAATAATGCTGTTTCAATGTCAGCGTACAATCAGTACTGATTTAAGTATCTTGAAACTTTTAAAAAGAGTTCACAGAATATGACAGTGTGCTACTTAATTCCACAGCCATATTTTAGTCCAACTGCTTTGCTCAAATCTAAGATAAAATTTTAGACTGTCCAAATTTTATTACTTCTGCAGGTTTGATCTTCAAATCCTGCCAGCTGGCAGTTCAGCCTACAAACAAATGAATGGTATTTTGTTTCAACAAGGTTTTTTGTTATCTTTTTTAGAATGCAAGTCCTTCAGTTTTGCTCAGCAAGAAATTGTGAAGGACAGAATGAGGAGCAAGAGTAAAATTTGAAAATGACGGAAACATAGCCAGGGAATTTCTATGTACTTTGTAAGTTAAATCTCCAGGGCCAGATGAGCTATGGTACTGAAGGAACTTGATGATGGTCTAGCTGATCCCTTATATCTGAAATTGAAGTGGCAGAGAGTAAGTGTTGCCCCAAACTTCAAACTGGGAAAAATCATCAAATCCAGGGAATTACAGACCATTCACTCTGACATCAAGAGTTGGAAGAACCTAAAACAAAACATGAAAAGTTCAGCCAAAAGACCATGAAAATAATGCAACAATGAAAAGAAATCAGCATAGATTTTTTAAGAACTGTATCTCATTTATTCTCATCAGGTAATCTTTCACAGACTGTACAATGGACCTACGAGATCTTGACGTCAGCAAAGCATCTGATAAAGTACTTGAGGACATTTTGATAAGCAAGGGAGTTAAGTATTGTCTGGACAGTGTAACAGTGAGAGAGATATTAAACAGTGGGCTACAAGTTTCAGGTTTTCTACTGAGGTAGGAATGACTGTCAGATCTGCAGATGATATAAAACTGAGTGGAATACTTAATTCCCTAGAAGATGGAAATGTGAATATCTCTTCTAATTTTTATTTTTTATTTCTCAGTCAGGTCAATATGCCTGGATTTCCTGGTAGTCTCCTATTCAAGTACCAGCAAGGCCCAATTCTACTTATGTTTTTCAAGCTCAGCTAAGGTCAGTTAACTGCCAGCAGCTATGACACTTATAATAATACTTGCAAACTGAGTGATGCAGCTGCCAAAAAGTTCCACAAAAGACAGTTTCCAAACCACGCAAAATAACACTTCCACTTTATTCTGCTTTGGTCAACCTTGGAATGTAAGTTCCAAGTCTACAATTGTATGAAAATGAAGAGATTTGGTCATTCAAAGAAACACAGTTATGCACCCCTACAGAGTCTTACCATGCAAGATTTAGCCCAAGAGGGACACAAGCATGACTATACCCATAAACTGGATGAAGAGCACCAGAGGCGTAAGAAATGACCACACCGGCCACAAGGAAATGTTAAAACTGGGAAGGAAAAAAAAGGATGATCAATTTTAATTTAATATTAGCAATTTTATGAGCATATCATACTCATGCTTAATTATTATAAAAAAGTCTCTAGCATTCATCCTGAAACTTCTGGTAATCTATTCATAAATAAATATATGTTCACACACACAGACATAAATATTATCCCTGTTTTCTACTTTCCCTAACCCCCTTACCTTCCTCTCTTCATATTTAAATAAATCCATAATTATAAATAGAACTCTGTGATAAATACAGGTAGCCCTCACTTACTGACCACAGTAGGGACTGGCAACTCCATCACTAAGCATTGCAGTAATAAAGCGCAACATCACGTGACTGCACTGACTTACATCAGTTCTGTCAGCGGTAGTTAAATGAATCACCACAGGTTAAGTACAATGTCACATGACCATGACTTATGACTTCCTGCTGGCTTCCCTATTGACTTTGCTTGTCAGAAGCCATCTGTGAAGCTTGCAAATGGTGATCACATGACCGTGGGATACTGCAACCATCGTAAATGCGAACTGGTTGCCAAGTGCCCAAATTGTGACCACGTGACTACAGGGATACTATGATGGCTGCAACTACGAGGACCCATTGTAACTTCAAACAGTCGCTGAACGAGTAGTCAGTAAGTGAGGACTACCTGTAATGGATATACATGTGTATGCACATTATATGTAGCTAACAATCCATAAACTTTGTTTATTCTCTAGATAGTATAAATACTATATTTATACTATCTACAGAATATATATACTATAGTATATATAAATATATACTATATTAATAGTATAAATACTAAAGACATTCTTTATTTTTAATGAAAAGAGTGACCCAAGGATCCCTTCAATTAACTTAAACACTTCGGAAGCTATGCCAATCTGGAAAGCTGGCATAATCCATTAAGTGGTGGCACACATTAAAAATATGCTTCATTACAGAAATAAACTTTAGGGAATATGGATAGTCTGCCATGAATATCCATGGATGCCACATGGACCTGTATGGCTTCTAGAGGGCCCCTGGGGAATGCACCAGCAATCTAAAAGGCAACTCTGCCCAAGCAATGGGAAGTGAGCCAAGGCTGTTTACTGAGGACCCATGAGAAATGAAGTGACAGGAACAACGCCTAGAGCACCAGTGGATGAAGAAGAAAAGTTATTCTGACTGAGCGTGTTCAACCCTCTGCAACTAGCTTCTGGGTGCAATTTAAAGTGCTGGCTTTGATCTATAAAGACCTTTATGGCTTGCCACCAAGGTGACTATAGGGACGCAGAGTGGCCAACCAATTGGGTCATCTAGGGAGAAACTGTTCCTAGTGCCCCACTTTTGGGAGGTTTGGTCAGGAGGAGCTGCTTCTTAATAGCAGCAGTGATTCTGTGGAACTGCTTCCCTGGGGAAATCAATGTGGCCTCCTCCCTGATTGGATTCAGAAAGATGTTGAAACCAGTAATGTTCTGGAGAGTGATGTTATTAGATCCATCTGTTTGATGTTTTGAGTTACTTTATTCTTGAGTTGTTTCTTTATTGTTTTGATGTTATGCTGATTTACTCCTACTGTGGATTTTTAAACTGTTTTTTTCTATATTGTGTTACCATTGAGAATTGTTTGATTGCAATGAGATATAAATGTAATAATAAAATATATTTTATATAGAAACATATTTTTCTTTATGCCAACCACAGTTTAAGAACAAATAAGATCTTCACAATTTTGAAAAAATTACTGGTTTTTCAAAAACAGGACATCAGACTCCTTGTTCTAAAAGTCAGGTGAATAACTACAAATAACCAATGCAATCTTCTTATAAGAATATGTACTCCCTTAGGAGGCCCCAGTTCATTTTTCCCTTTAACAAATCTTGAGCTCCATCAGGACCAAAAGCCTCAGCAACAGATGGTTAAGCTAAATAAATGGCCCTGGAACACCCTGAACTAAATAAAACTCAATGTTAAATTTTACACAAGCTTTAAAAATTACTTCAAGAGAGCTAAAGCTAACCTGATAGAACAGCATTATGAGAAGGCCACCTTACTGTCTCCTCCCACAAATAGTTGTAATTAAGCCAGATTTCTCCATTCATATCAGTTTGTTCTATGAGTGGTCAACTTACCAAACTGCTGCAGCAATAAAGCTAGCAGTTGTGATGGGAATGAGAGTAGGATAGCTAGTTTCATAGTCTGCAATTCCATGATACCATTCAAGGTATATGATGCAGAAAAAGGCCACCGACAGACTGACAACTAATAAACAGCTGCCAAGGACAAACCATCCACTGCAAGAGAGAGAAAAGGGGAGCTAAGTGCCACAATATGCTAACTGATCTTGTATTAATCATACATCAATGTTACATAACATTG